AAATCCGTCAACGTTGATTCTTTACTGCGGCTGAAATATTCATTTTTAGGGCGTTAGTGAATTAAAAAAAAGCAGTATAAAAACCGGAATGTCCAACTGATAAGGCTGAAAACTTTTTCACTTGTTATTTACAGTAAGATAAATACATTCACCAACTTTTATTTAAATAAAACCATGTAAACTGGGTGTTCGGATTTATATGTCACTTAGTATACATTGCATTTGCAATCTTCTTCACCACCACTTCTATAATCCCATCTATACAGGGTATTTCAGAACTAAGGGATCAAACTTCTAGGGTTTATTCAGTGTAACAGTAGAAAACATTTGAGTACAGGGACCCATATCCAGAAAACTGTCACTACGGCACTACCGGCCCTAAGACGCGTTAAAATCTAGGAAGACGATGAATTGCCTAAATAGGATTTAATTAATTTAATTTATGCCTTTTTGTACATGATATCATCACAACAATTGTTGAAAATGTCTTCCTCCAAATGTTTTACACTGAATAACCCCTACAAGTTTGATCCCATAGTTCTGAAACACCCTGTATAGTCCACTAATAAACATTTTTGTAAGCAATGTTTGAAAAACGTTACCTTGCTTGATAAAGTTTTCAAATTTTGACTATTTTATAAAATTTCATACAAAAAATACGTGCTGTCATGTATTACACGTATGGTGGTATAAGAGTCCAGAAAGTTGACTTGCGATAGAAAAACGGGGCTAAGACAGTTTACACATAGGTACAATTTTATATTATAAGCTTTTTCGCCATCATAAAGCTCGCAGTTTTATTTCATTGTTTTGTATACAACGACCAAAATGTTTTGTTTCCTATTGCATATACACATTTTAACGGTTTTTCATAAAGGTGTGAGTCATGCATAAAGTGTATCTAAATATATCACTGTCCAGGCGTCCAAAACTCCAGATAATGCTTCCTAATTCCCACAAATTTGCGAAATATTTCAGCAGGGTGCCAATTTCCATTGAACAATGTAATTTTCGAAAATGTTTATTTTCGTATAACTTGTTGGATGTACTCCAGAATTTGATTGGCGTAAATCATCATGAGCTTGATAAATTGCTGTTATGAACGGTTCATTATAGTTCAGACATCAGATCGTATGTACATGTCCATTTGAATATAACGAACTGCACGTAAATCGGCAAGGTGTTATTTCGTCTCTTCACGACGATAACTATTTTCAATTAGCTTTGCGTTGAGTTCATTGTGATGTTTGATTCATTGTACGGATATCTGGCTTTGCTAGAAATAACTGCCCGTGGTTGAGATGTTATTTCTATGGCTATTGTTGTCTATAAGGTTTTTTGATTCACGACGTTTCGATAGGTGTGATCTTCAATAGTCATCAGACGAACTGGCGAACATGCCCCTTTCTTGACAATTTATAACGTTTTGTGACGTGGCCGGTGGTAGGTTGTAACATGTCCCTCTTCCATCACAACAGCTCGGACTTCTATAGCGATACATTTTTCTAATAACCTAAAGCGCACGAAGTGTATTGTAGCGTTTTCAGTTCTCTCAAAAAAGTATAGTTTTAGTGGAAAAAATTTACTTGTGAGACCGTGTATGCTACAGTATATTCAGATAAGAGATAGACCGGACATAAACAAGACCACGTGATCATCGAACGCTGTAACATTCGGCAGGGGCGTATTAAGAGTCACGCAGTACATATTTTAGATAGTAGATGCTGCTTTGCGTAACTTTGTAGTAAATTAGCACAATTCGATGTGTATACGATTGGTGATGGATATAGGATCATGTGGGGGTGGGGTAAGAAATATATAATGATGTAAATATGCATAAGGGTTTCAAAATTTTCGCTTCGATTTCCAGCTTCGGATGCCGCCTGATCTTTGGTGAAATACAGTCGAATATAATCTCAAAATGGCGTTTAAATTAGCCTAAATTAAAAATAATCGTATATCTCTTAAAATTGCTTTTAGAATATTGATTAGTATATTTTTTGATTTCTAGGTAAATATGTAACCAAATTAAAACGTTCAAAACGTAAAAAAATGTGCATGGTTGAACATTGTCAGAAAGTAAATTCTTGAATAGGTTTTGCCAAAATAGGTTCAAAAATGTCAATAATTAATTAAAAAATACAGTAGCTCTATAATTACTTATAACTTACCGAATTTGATGAACGACATCTTTTATTGGAAAGATGAGCTTGATGAGCTTTCATCATCGCTACTGCCTGAAGCACCAACGTCAATAATGAATGGCTCGACTTGTTCCTCTAAAATATAGTAATCATCAACCCATACTTTACTTGTAGTGTGTCCTGCGTTTACCCACGTTTGATCAAGGTAATAAATCTTCCTGTTTTGATTTCTATATTTCCCAATTTTTGTTAAATAATCCCTCCTCCTTAGCACAATTTCTTCTCTATCCAGTAGTAAACTATTACGACCCCGTTTTTTCCATTTGAAATTTAAATGCTTCAGTAACGCATGGAAAGTTGATCGTTTGAAATTTGGCAACGTTGTATCTCCATTTACCTCCTGCAGTACTTTATCTATAGTAGGTATTTCATTTCTAAAGAAGAATTCATGCACTTTCCTCCTAATCGCATGCTTATCAGCTTCATCCAATGATTTAACAATACTTTTGCGATGTTTACTGGTCATTGGCTCAGAAAAGGTGTGATTTTTTTGTATTGTCTTAACACATTAAACACTGATGCGCGACACACCCCAACTTTGTGAGAAACCTTCACAACAATTTCTTTGATGGTTGATGCCTCGTTCTCCTCGCGCTCGATCTTATATATATTCAAAATGACCTCTTTCATTTCTGCACTCAGGTGTCTTTTTTTAGAGCGTTTCCTAGGTGGACTACAGGAGTTTACAACTTCATCGGCAGTATCTGTACTACTGGGCATTTTGCGCAAGCAGTTGATAACAATCAATAACAAGGTATAACAATAACAACGACAAACTCAACAACTTAATAAGATAACAAACGAAAACGTCCAAAGAAATATCAAATTGCAATGATGCACACGACATACGTACCTAACACGTCTGAACCTGAATGTGACTCTGCCTTGATACGACTGCTCTGCCGCTCGGCATAGGCATTTAATTGCGAATTGACCAATGAGGGCTCCTGTTTTACGTCGAGACGGCGGCGTTAGCGTGAAAATCACCCGAACCTTTTGTTTACATCCGGTCTATCTCTTATCTGAATATACTGTAATCATAAAGATACATGATACAAAAAGGTTAAAGCAGCAAGTCATCATTTTTATGAATAAAATTTGATAATTGGAGAACTAGTGCGAATGACTACTGATCACATAAGGCTCAGTTTCCTCTAAAACTCAAATCGCTTGTTGTGTACTATTATTTTTTTGTCGGGATGACCAGAGGTGGCGACTTGAGTAACAGCGAGCTGCTATCAGAATTGGTAGCAATAATAAAAAAGGAAAGTGATGCTATTAAGAATGAGATTAGACAAGATATCCAAGAAATTGGAAGAAAAAACGCGAATCTGCTAGAACATATAAAACAACAAGGCACAAAAATAGATCATTTACAGACAGTGTATAAGGATTTGGAGAAAGAAAATTTACAGGTGGAAAGGGCGATACGAAAAAACAACATACTTCTGTTTCGTTTCTTTGAGAGGTGACTTTGGATGGCCAGCGCGCTCACCGGATTTAATCATGTCTCACTTTTTTCTGTGGAATTATTCAAAACAGAAAGTTCTTAAACATCGCCCCCACACTTTCGATGAGCTAAAGGTGGCTCAAACACTCCCCAAATAGACTACGAGGGATGTATTTTAAGTTTTGCATATGGAAATAAAACAACCCGGTAGGTAGTTTTAAATGACTTACCTTGTTTTTTGGGCTGTGCGCGAGCTTGCATTGTCTTGGTGGAGGATGATTCTTCTTTCGGGGTTGATTTTTCGATGCTCGGTGATGACTTTTGGCAAACAAATGGTGGTATACCAATCCGCAGTAACAGTTATTTGCTCATTAAGAGGAATTGTTGCAATACCCGCTTTTGACACAAATGTCGCGACAATCTTTTTCGAAACACTTCGAGAACGGATGACTTTTGTTGGCTTTTCTTCACCTTGGAACACCCATACAGCCGACTGTCGTTTATTTTCTGGTTCATAAGAGTAAATCCACGATTCATCACCACTAACATTGCTGTACACATTTTTTGAGTTTCGAAATTGAAACGGCCCAGCGTTTTTTGACACCAATTAACCCTGGCTGCTTTCTGCTCTTCAGTCAACAGGTGGGGTATCCAACGAGAAACTAATTTTCTTACTCCTAATTCTTTATGTAAAATTTGTTTAATTGAGGTCTTTGAGATCTTCAAGGACGCCTCAATCTCGAAATATGTCACATGTCACCCATCCACGTTTAAATTCTCCATACCAACGGAAAATTGTCGACTGATGTGGCGCTTCGTTGCCGAAAACAGACAGTAACTCAGCAAGGCATTCTTGTTGCGATAATTTTCTCTGAAAGTTGTAATAAATTATGGCGCGAAAACGTTCTCGGTTGAGTTCCGTTTTTCTAATAGCTTGGTGATACTTAAAAATTCACTGTAGTGAGAACACCGCACGTATTGCTGTGAAACATTAAATTTAATTTTACTAAAGAGTGAGGTTAAGATTCAGCACTGACGTTCGACCCGCGCGGCCTACTATGTTTCTATATGCAAAACTTAAAAGACATCCCTCGTACATCAGTGTATTGCTGCTGAAGGCCACCATCTTGCTAAAGTTGTGTTCAAAACTAAATAAAAAAATTAGATTAGAATCAAACTATAACAAAAAAGTTTTACGCCTGTAAGTTATTCAGTTTTTCTTTGATACCGCCTCTAAACCGGGTCATCACTTCTGCCCCACCCTGAATTTTTTCAAGTTCCATATGTAAAGTAACATTTATCGTATCAACTTAAGCACTTGAAGTACTAATGCATATTTTGTTAAGTCGACAGAGCTCGAGCGTCGTTCAGGCAAAGTTTGAGGCTAGGTTCAGGCATACGGGGTCGAGGCCTGAGGTTAGCCGGATATCTGACTCCGCCCAGTGATGTCACCGCGGCAGAAGAGGAAGAAGACCGCCTGGAGCAATGGTGAGCACGATTCATTAATATCCTGCGGATCATTTTCTAGAAACACAATATAGCTTGATTCAAAAAAACATTGGCAATATTTTTAGGATATAAAATGGATCAAACAATGTTCATAGTAATAAGTCTATTTCCAACAGGCAGATACATCCAATCGCAGAAAATATCAATAAATAGCAACTAAACAAATAATTTGCGAATCCAGACATGTAAGAAACACCGCTATCATGAAGTACCCCTCCGCTGATTTAACATCGCTTTTAAATTGCTGGGTCTGTCTTCTAACTGTGCGCGTTTTCAGTGTTGCTATCAGAAGAAACAGCATCATTTTTACATTTCGAAAAAAAAATTAATAGTTGAAGCTGCATGCTCCCTGTGTTGTTTCATAGTATTTTTTTTATATCGCAGCAGCCGCGCAGGCAGAAGCCTAAATGCCGGAACAACGCGGCTGCTATGATGATCCCAAAGAAATTTTGTTAATACGATTTTTGAACTGCCTAAGGTTAGTAGAACAGGGAAAAGCTTCGTCTTGTAGATTTTTCCACAATCTCGACCCCCTCGGGACAAAGGAGCGGTCGTATCGGTCAGTTCTGGATGTAGGAACTCCATCGAAACCGGATGAGCGCTACGACGCTTTTTGTTCGTCAAACTACAGTACTGTGTTTTGGAAGTAGAAGTACAAGATTGTTACGTCTCCAAGCAGTGATAGCCGCCAGGTCTCTTGTCAGAGAGGAAGTCGTCGCTAGTCTTCTTTTTTCCGGCTCAGTGGCAGAGATCGGCTTGTCACTCGGAATTAGTGCATGTAGAGTGCTATCATCAGCGAAGCTGTGGATTGGGTTGATCGTGCAGGAAAGGAGGTCGTTGATATGTAAGAGAAACAGTGTCGGAGCCAAGACCTATCCCTGGGGAACACCCGCGTTGACGTTGTGGGATGAAGAGGAGAACCCGTCAATTACGACGGATACCTTGCGGCCAGAGATAAAGTCAGCCACCCATCTGCAAAGCTTTTCTGGGAGGCCATAGGATGGAAGTTTGCTTAAGAGGGCAGCGTGCCACAGGTGATCGAATGCTTTCGTGATGTCAAGAGCAACGACATGAGCCTCACCATAAGACATGAAATTCGTCGGAAAGATTTTATTTTACGCCATTGCCATATAGTGCGAAGAATATGAGACTTAAAATAGATCCGTGGAAAACGCCTATATTTATCAGGAAGATTCCATTTAAGGTATTACGGAAATTTGCTAATCATTACACTGATCAACAGCCAAAAAATATCCTAAATAAAATTAACAAAATATTACTATTTTTAATGTGCTAAAACCGGAATGAAACTTATTTTTTCAATATTAGTTCAAGTTTTAGAGATACGGTAATTATATGTGTTCCTGCTGTGACAGTGTTAATATACTGTAATTCAAAAGAATGCACGTGCTACATTTTTATATTCGGCAAGGAAAGATGATGTAATCGGCATGATTGTGTTACGTTATACATACGTGTACATTATATTGTTTTATATTAGCCATTTTTTCCTCAGTTGGCTGACAGCGTTCATGCAAGATGTCTCGAAAGTGTGTAAACAATCCAGATCAGTTTTGATACGTGTATGGTGATGTGACTTTTGCGTCTCAGAGACGGTTTATTACTCCACTAATAACAAAGGCATATCAGCTTTATTTCGGTTGTAAACTAGGTGATCAAGACAAACAGTGGGCACCCCACATCTGCTGTACTAAATGTGCTTCAAGTCTGAGGAGCTGGTTAAATGGCAAAAAACGGTCTATGCGCTTTGCTGTCCCAATGGTTTGGAGAGAGCCTACACATCATACTAATGATTGTTACTTTTGCATGGTACCTTGTGTTGGACAAGCCACAGGTATGTCCAAGAAAAAAAAATCGGTTATTAACTACCCAAACATACCATCTGCGATGAGACCTGTGCCTCACAGTGACAAAAATCCTATTCCAAAACCCCCAGAATCCTACACTTGCGAATCAGAAAACGAATCAGATCATGGCGATCGAGTGATTCGTCAGGAAGAAGATATGCCATCAACGTCAAGAGATCCTGATTTTATACCGAGCAGGTCATGCCACCAACCGCACAAAATAACACAGTCAGAATTAAATGATCTTGTAAGGGATTTAGAACTTCCAAAATGTAAGGCAGAGTTACTTGGATCAAGACTGCAGCAGTGGAACTTGTTAGAAGACGATGTTTCGGTATGTGTTTTTCGTAAACGCCACAAAGACTTAGAACCATTTTTAAATATGGAGAATAACTTGGTTTTCTGCAGTAACATTAACGGCTTACTGGCGGCTTTAAATATAAACTATAACCCAGAAGAATGGAGATTGTTTATAGACAGTTCAACATTGAGTTGAAAGGCAGTGTTATTGCATATTGGAAATATTTTACCATCTCTTCCTGTAGGGTATGCAGTTCACATGAAAGAATCATATGACAATATGAAGTACCTATTGACATGCATAAAATACGATGAGCACCAATGGCATATTTGTGGCGATTTGAAAGTTGTTGCACTTTTACTTGGGCTGCAGCTAGGCTACACAAAGTTTTGATGTTTTTTGTGTGAATGGGACAGTCGGGCAAAGGCACTTCATTACACCAGACAAAATTGACCTGTTCGTCAATTCCTAGAGCCAGGTCACAAAAATGTACAGCATATGCCATTAGTAGATTCGAAAAAAAATTTATTACCACCACTGCATATCAAGTTGGGCCTAACGAAAAACTTTGTCAAGGCATTAGATAGAGATGGGTCAGCTTTTCAATACCTGCGTCAGAAATTTCCAAGACTAAGTGAGGCAAAGGTTAAAGAAGGTATTTTTGTTGGGCCACAGATTCGAAATATTTTGAAAGATACACAGTTTGAAAACACTTTAACAGGTATTGAAAAAACTGCTTGGAATGATTTCCGTCTGGTGGTCACTAATTTCTTGGGAAATAGAGAAGCTGACAACTATAAAACCCTTGTCAAAAATATGCTGTCATCGTATCAAAAGATGGGCTGTTATATGTCTCTTAAGATACATTTCCTACACTCACACCTGGACTTTTTTCCTGACAATTGCGGAGCCGTACGTGATGAGCACGGCGAACGTTTTCATCAGTATATTTCAACAATGGAAAAAAGGTACCAGGGAAAGTGGAATCCTTCCATGCTTGCAGAATACTGTTGGACTCTTGGTAGAGATGCTCCAGAAACGATCCATAAAAGAACAGCAAAAAGATAGCGCATATAGTGATTCTTATAAGTATATGAATCTTGTTACCTTTTTTAATATATCCTTAAAAATAAAAAGTTTTTTCCTAAACCGCAACTAATTTTTTTATTTCATTGTCATTTTTGGATTCAGCGCCCCAAAATTAACAAAGAAGTGCACTTTTCCCACAAGATACAATTAAAAAACTAAAATTTGTTGTCCAGTGATTGTTCCATCCCAAGAGTCCATTGACTTTAAATCCTACTGGATATTCCTTTTGGTGGAAATTAGTAAAATCTTTCTTTCGACAGCCCGTTGACCTCATCGGCACCGACCGCTCCAATCCTGGAACCGCACCAGCAGACGACGATAGTCCCGCTCCAATCGTCGGTCATCACTTCGGCTGTGATCCCGCCCCTTCCGTGGAGCGGCCCTGGAAGGGGCGGATCCGTAGAACCGCCTGGCCCCGCCTACCGACTGCCCCACCAACCGGTGCTCAGCGTATCGCATAGCGCGCCCACCTCCCACCAAGCGTCCTTCGAGAGAGGGGAGAGCATGGAACGGACCAATGGCGTGACGAATGGCAACGGAAATGGGAGGGGGGCGGGCGGCGGTACGGGAGGAGGAGGGAACAATAATAGGTAAGCGGAGATGATTGTAGAAAAATGTAGGTATGTAGGTTTAGTTATTTTCGAGATTACATTTTAGTTCATTGGGTTTTTTGCACGGAAGTCAAGTGGTGACGTTCGAGGTAGTGGAGAAGCTCACGACTATATATCTAAACTTAAAGTGGAATTAAACATAAATATCGTATTTAGAGATCCAATTTTGTGATTCACGCCCGTCGCACACAGCTAATAGATGTACTACATTGGCAGCATATTCAGTAATGATTTTCTCACACAGCAAATATCACTAATTTTATACACATGCAGACCAATATACAGTCATCAAGATGAGATTGCTGCGCGACAGACGGTATAGATGCATGAGGTTGGTGCCCATCAAACCATGAAGTATCTTGAACGTAACTATAAGATCGCCACGAAGTCTTCGCTCAGAGAATGAGGTCAGGTTGAATAATTCAAGCCGATCTTGATAGCTTGGTCTTCGTGCTCCAAAAGGGATACGAGTAGCCCGACGCTGTACTGATTCGACGAGATTTCTATCGCGCAGAAGCACAGTGTCCCATACCGGGCCAGCGAATTCAAGAATTGGCCTCACGAATGCCTTGTAAATGTAGGCGCAAGTGTTGACATCCGATCCTTTGAAAGACCTCTCCAGCATGTATAGAAGTTTCTTGGCTTTTGATGTAACGTGGTGAATATGCTCTGACCAGGAAAGACGATCGTTGACTACAACGCCCAGATCAGTGTGGCTGGAAACTGCTTCGATGTTGTGGTCAGAGATCTTGTATGTAAATCGCGGATTTGTCTTCCCGAGGTGAAGGACACAACACTTAGTTAGATTTAAGGGTAAAAGCCAACTGACTGACCATTGACAAACAATATCAAGATCTCGTTGAAGCATAGCAGAATTTACGACAGTATTGTAAATCTTGGTGTCGTCGGCATAAGCTGAACATGTGGAGGAAATCAATGCGGGCAGGTCACTTGTATACAGAAGGAACAGCACTGGCCCCAAGACAGAGCCTTGAGGAACTCCACTTGCTACATGATGAAGGTGAGACTGGCTATCACTGACGCGCACAGAGAAAGTCCTCCCGGTGAGAAAAGCCTTAATCCACAGTAACAACTCGCCTCTTATTCCCATACATTCCAACTTAAACAGAAGCCTTCTATGTGGTACGCGATCGAAAGCCCTAGAAAAATCTAAGTAGATTATATCAACAGGTGTCTTTGTGTCCAGATACTGAGTCCAATCGTTGAGAGAGTGGAGAAGGTTGGTCATTATTGATCGACCAGGGAGAAATCCATGCTGATTCTTAGGGATAAGGTCATTTTCGAAAGCAAATGACAGGAGCTTATCTAATATGATTCTTTCAGCTATTTTGGCGGCGATAGGAACGAGACTTATTGGTCGATAATTTTTAGCGGAGGATTTGTCGCCCTTTTTGAATACAGGGGTAACAGAAGCACTAAGCCAGCATGAGGGTAGGGTATGAGATCTAAAAGACGATGTGAATATCAAGCTTAATGGTAGGGCCAGTGCTGAAGCGCAGTTTTTAAGTACAGCAGCCGTCATCCCATCTTTACCAGGGGAGGAAGAGGTCTTCAGATTTCGCAGGTGCATACATCTTCAGGCAGGAACTCAACTTCGCAAAGGCTGTTGGGACACCTAAGGCAGATAGTGGTCGGTAGAAGGCCTCCATTAGGTTCATCGACGAAGTCATCACTAAAGGACTCTGCCAGTAAGTTGGCAGATTCGGTGGCATCCATGTGGAGATGACCGTCAGCGTCGCGGATCTGAGGTGATGAAACTTTGAAATTCAGGTTTGTTCTTAGATACCGAAACAGCTTCTTCTTATTTTTGGAGGTAACGAGTTTTCGTTCATAAGCATGTTTGGCATTATGTAACGTTCTAGATAGGAGGTTAGAAAAGGATCGATGAGACACGTAATCTTGTGAATGGCCACTCCTCCTAAACCGTTGCCACAAAGATCTCTTGTGACGAAGCATCCTCGATATGTTAGAGTTGATCCAGGGCTTTGAGGGGTCACAGTATACCTTCTTTTCAACAGTATTGTCAGCCGTTTCGCTTAGGACTCGTTGAGCGAAAGTGTCCCACATATCTTGGGTGCTACGCTGATATAGAAAAACTGCACTACTCGCAATTGTATACATCTGTGAATGCACTATATCGATACTTTCTACTTTCTTGCAACGGGGTATGGTTAAGCGTCACGTTTTAGCATAATTAATATCAGCGTTTATCATAAACGTTATCGTACCTAGTCATTATAACCTTGTTATAACCCAACAACTTGCAGCTAATCATCGCTATTTCATCGTAAAAATTACCTACCATCCATTACGTTTCAAGTACTCACCAGATGATTATATTCACGCAGACAACTCCCACTAGAACACAGAACATGTCACTTAACGCTAATTTGTATTCAACGTGTCACACTTACCTTCGCTTTAATCAGTTACTCTCCCACAGCCGATGACACTTTATGTAGATATGGTAGTCAGCGCGAACAAAGACATTGAACAGTTTTTTGTTGTGCATGGTCTACCAAGTTTAATGGTGACTTAATCTCTATTAAGTCATTAGTGCAAAATACTTTTGGTCATAGTTCTATGCAGAACACTCCAAACACTAGAGCGACAAAACTTAGTGTCCCGAAAGTAATAAATGCGCTTGTAAGTATCATGTCAGTAAAACTCTGCGATAGGCTGAATCAAAATCGAAGGAAGTTATACTTCGGGGTGGCAGGTGTCAGATGATAGGCGAATCTGTTTTGCATTGGATTGTTGGTTTAAAGGTACACGCCCGTTGAGGAAAAGATGAGATTTGTGTCGCGCGAACATTTCAGTCAATAATGTTCGACAATGAAGTCAGAAAGACACAGCCGGATGTCAAGCATTGTCAAGTGCCATTGTCGCGCCGGAGACGTGTTCCTCTTCTCTTGAATGTGTGCACCATTAATGTATCCATCTACGAGGGATGTCTTTTAAGTTTTGCATATAGAAACATAGTACTGAATCTTAACCTCACTCTTTAGTAAACTTAAATTCAAAGTTTCACAACAATACGTGCAGTGTTCTCACTACAGTGAATTTTTAAGTATCACCAAGTTATTAGAAAAATGGAACTCAACCGAGAACATTTTCGCGCCATAATTTATTAAGGTACCTGTACCAAATAAGGCCACATTAACGTTTGGATAGCTGTAACTGCGTAAATATTTGCGAAACGACCTTGAAATTTTAAAGGTATTATTGTAGATATGTTTATTACACAAGCTACATCGGAGAACTCAGAGACCTTTTCTTTTCATATAAAAAAAATATATTTTTCCAAACACTACCGTTGGCCTTATTAGGAACCCATGTATCCAAATAAGGCCACCATCTGGTTTTCAATAAAACCACAATCAAAATGTAAATCAAGACTGTATAATAAACGAAGCTATATTTATAATTAAACAAAATTAAAAAAACACTTAAATCTAGACAGATTTAAATAAAAAAAGCCAACTTGTTTAAAGAATATCATACAGAATCTTAGATTTTGCCTTCGCAATGATGACAAGCAAATGATACTTTTCACCTCTACACAAGCCTACACATTCCTCATGGACATATCTTAAGCATACTACATACAGGCGCATGTCACGTACTTCATCCTTATCGCATATGAAACAGTACCAGTTTTCGTCTTTATTCTTTCGGAACCTTTTGCTTTTAACGGTTCCAGACTCACTAGATTTTTTTATTGTTTTATCTAAGCCGGATGGACCTGGATTTGGGTCTTTAAACAAATCTCTTACGACGATTTGCGCAGTAGAATTGATGGCTTTTCGTCTTTTTGTGGCGTTGGCCTTCCAATTGATCACTGTCTATTTGACCAGTCACAAGATTTGTTGTTTCAAGAACTGCAAACTTTTGAGTCGAGTTTATTTCTTTTTCATTAGAAGTAGCTGTTATCTGTAACATTGAAGTTCCGTTGGCCATCAGTAGTGCAAGGGGTATGTCATCAGATTCTGTAAAGCTGACATCATGGTTTACCTCATTCTCCTCCTGAACATCTGTAGCTGCCGTATTTGAATCGGGCCTCTCTGACATTAAACTAGGTGTAAATGCAGTCTCCGGGATCGCAGCTGGTTCGTGCGGGTATATTCCTGTTGCGCGAAATCCTGACTGAAGATTTTCAGAAGACATGGCCCTTGGATACACTTTCCTCAAAATTTCTCCAAATCTTGCACGATTCAACTTCCTGCCAGGATACCGCTTGTAATTGTTAAGTATTTCATTTTCCCAATGATATTCGAAACTGCGGAAAACAGATTTATCCAGCGGTTGCAGCACGTGTGTCGTGTTACTCGGAAGACACAATAAAGTGATGTGATGTTTTTCGACGGCGTCAACAATAGTTGCATCCAAATGAGAAGAGGCACCATCAAAAATGAGAGGAATATCTCCTGGTGGCTTATAGTTTGCTAGATGGTCTAGCCATTTAACAAACACTGCTGCCGTCATACTTCCTTTTTGGGTCATTTCAATTACTGTTCCGGTTGACATATTGTCACCCCATTCATCCTTTTTACGTTTTACCTTGAACAGGACCGTTGGTGGTATTGCCTGTCCAATAGCATTTCCACATGCAACTATTGTGGAATTTTCTGCGTGCTCATTAGCTACATAGTGAACACGTCTTTCACCTTTCCTCGCCAACACATTTGGTTGGCGGTGGATGGTGAGTCTGCACCCCTTCTCATCTACATTGTAGATACGATAGGGCTGATTGATTAGGTTTAGTCTAATCAGCAAACTTTCTAGTTTGTTGAAGTAGTCGTTTACAATGTACTTATTTATTTTCTGTGCCCTAGCTGGATTTAAAACCTGTGCTTTCCTTTGGCGAATATTTTCATGTCTGTCCAAAAACAACTTCAACCATTTTCTACCTGCCATTCCGCTATTTTCATTAAATGTGTGACGAATTTTTTTGTCATTAACATAGGAAAAGACGGATTTTCGCAAAATCTTTGGTGTAAGGGGCATTCCTGTATCCGATAATCGGATTATCCTTGAGCATAGTTCATCTTCCTGCTCTCTAGACAAAATTGTACGAGTACCAAGTTTTCTTTCTCGCACACCTGTACGAACATGATTGCGAAGTGTTCTTCGTGGAATTTGGTATTCTTTGGATGCACGATTTACCGACGTTCCACTGTTTCTACTATCCAATGCTTGTACAAGCGCTTCGGTTGACCACAGCGCCCTTTTCTTAGAGGGCATATTTCGACTATAGTCTCTGAAAAACAAAAAAAATCTTAATTTAAGACATCTGCCGTAATGGCCAGCGTGTTCCTAATAAGGCCAAGTGGCCGTAATGGGAACCGTTTATCATGGCCTTATTAGGCACATATTACCTTAAACATACAATTTATAAAATACAAAATATTTAAAACCTGGCGACGACAAATAACTAGCTGTATATGTTCTATAGACTTACCTGAATTTTGTAAGGCACGTGTTGAAAATCGACACTGGCCAACTGCGCCACCTAGCGCCGCTGCACACCTGCTACATTTATGGGTGCTAACTCATCTCAATGAATGTATAGAACTGTAGAAATCTTTAATTCTAGATGTAACTAGTGTCTGTAAAATCGACGCATGGCCTTATAAGGAGCTTGGCCTTATTTGGTACAGGTACCTTACAACTTTCAGAGACAATTATCGCAACAAGAATGCCTTGCTGAGTTACTGTCTGTTTTCGGCAACGAAGCGTCACATCAGTCGACAATTTCCCGTTGGTATGGAGAATTCAAACGTGGATGGGTGAGTCTTAGCGACGATTACAGGGTGGGTGCACCAAAAACGGCAGTCACCCAGGAAAACGTCGATGCTGTGCGCAAACTCATCATTGAAGTTAGACATGTGACATATTTCGAGAGAAAGACCTCAATTACAAAAATTCCGGAAACTCATCATTGAAGATAGACATGTGACATATCGCGAGATTGAGGCGTGCTTGAAGATCTCAAAGACCTCAATTCCAAAAATTTTACATAAAGAATTACGAGTAAGCAAATTAGTTTCTCGTTGGATACCCCACCTGTTGACTGAAGAGCAGAAAGCAGCCAGAGTTAATTGGTGTCAAAAAACGCTTGACCGTTTCAATTTTGGAAACTCAAAAAATGTGTACAGCATTGTTAGTGGTGATGAATCGTGGATTTACTGTTATGAACCAGAAGATAAAGGACATTCGGCTGTTTGGGTGTTCCAAGGTGAAGAAAAGCGCATGCTGATGTGTATTAATCTTCGCGGAGAATACTTCGAAAAACAATAAAGCCATTTAAAACTACCTACCGTGTTGTTTTATTTCCATATGCAAAACTTAAAAGACATCCCTCGTATACTCGATACAGGTGATAATAGATAGTACCCGTATCTGCAAGATGAGCGACGCCGTCTGGTGATGCAGCAACAATGCTGTCACATTAGGTAATTTTTCCCCAATTTGGAGGGAATTTCTCATATGTCGGGGAATTGTTTGAGAAATAGGATCTGGAGATACTATTTTGGAGGAAAATAAAACCTTTGCGTATTACTGGTGCATTTTATTTAATCTAAATATTTTCTTCACTTTGTACAAGGCTCAGATAAGATCTAATACTGGTCACTGATGCTACCGCCGAAAAGCCAGTTACAACAAGTCATTTTCGACATTCGCCGCGACCGATTTGTGTTTGTCAACATACACCGGTGATTCTCCGAAACTCTTATTAATAAAGAAAAACTGCAACTGTGTTTTAAACATGTTTGGTCAATATTTACGATTCGGATATAAGCTTTGAAAGGGTTAAATGGCTAGGGCAAATTTCACCAACATTAATATTATGGTCCAATGGGAAAATAGCTTATCGAAATGCAATTTGACAGAAGCTGTCAAAGGTCTCTGAATATTAGTGATTTCTATTGAAATATTGAATAAAGTCGTGAAAATTCGACTGTATTATAAACAAGATCACTTTTTTGATTCAAACATGATGCTTTTGTACAGAAAAAACAGGACACCTTTCATGTATTTTGATATATGTTATAGGTTTACATTTAACAATCCGTTATCCCCTCAGCGAATGGGAATGCGGCAAATAATAGGTCGATTTTCTAGCTGTCAAATTTGGCAGCAGAATTGGACGTTTGTTAATGCATGGCACTCTCGAATTTACCAACTTCAATATACTGAAAGTTATCATTACATACCTGTTGAACAGTGTGGATTTGTCTGCATTTTGCAAGAAAATAGAATATAAAATACATTCCATCCAATTCCTCATCTTCCTTTATGTCATAATAGTAATCATTCATTAATTTATGGGTTAATGAATTTCTCCAAAGCAATAAAGACATTATGTCCTCTCCATCCTAAAACACAGATAATATGTGAAGACGTGTCAATCCCTACATCTCCCTGATGCGTAACCTGGCAACCCTGTCGCGCCCTCACAAAATGGCCGCTGACATCCACACAAGTCACCGTGTTGTTATTGAATAGCATGGAATTAAACCTTCAGAGTATATGTTTTGTGACTGGTACCAAGAGTTGACAGATCCCACACATGTGTCACCCCTTGAAATGCAATAATCAGCTATATTCAAATAATGTCTAAGATAAATATAACCTAGAATATGTACTCGTTAAAAAAGAAAAATATGGAAAATTTGTAGTTTTTTTGCAAGTGTTTAGCTTTAATTCATATATTTGGGAATTTCTTAATCGCTGTGAATATAGTGTGGATGTTTGTTCAATTTCTGACAACAAAAAACATTCAACTTTATGGATGTATGGATATCAAAAAACCTGAAGGGTTTTGTGGGAATATCAATCTAAGGTGCCATAGTGGTTCTGATGAACGGCAAGTAAATAAATGAATGTTTGGAAACGAGCAATATCTTTTGCTAGAGCCTGTCGTCAAGTAGGTGCTTAATGGCTATCTGCAAGAGGTTTATAGGAAAAAACACCCAGTATCGCATATCAATTGAGGAAAATAATATAAACATGAATAAAAAATCAACAATAGTTAGTAGTTTTCAACATTTCATAGCTATTGGTTGCTAAAATTTGTTGATTGGAACTTGAAGCTCATTCGTTGTATTTGAGGGTCTGTTACCCTATAGGTGGAGAATAACGGACTGTTGTTGGTGAAATTGGCCCTTAGTCTAGTTTTCATTGAAAATTTTTCAAGTGACTCCACTATTTGTTATTAACAACAAAAGAGGTCTAATAAGTCCAAAATATTACCTGGTCCTCAATCTTTCAGTAAACAAGTTGTTGGATAAATAATAAGTGTCGCCTGAGCGACATGACCTCCGTTTCTGGAACCATAAATAACGTGTTTACACTGAACACTTTAATACACAACGGCGTTTTATTTCCTGTAAAATTTATAGTCATACTAATAATAAATGTTTTTCTAGGCACTACGCAGTACAGAACCGAACAGTATCGCATGCTACAAGCTTAGATGCCATAGCTAGGAGACAGTGTTTTAGAACAGGATATCCTACCGTTAGTCTTTGTAAGTTTTCGCTAATACCCTGTAGTTTTAGAAGTATTTACGTATTCATGACTTATGTAGATGGGGCAGTGCGGTATCAGAATGCAGGCTTACTCGTATATTTGGGAATTCACTACTTAACTAGACTTTCAAGCTACTTGATTTGAATAGATTTTATCAACGTGAATCAAATCAAGTAGTTTTTAGGTCAAGTACTTAAAAATTCAAGTAGTGTGGAAAATATCTCCGGCCTTGGATGTCGCATATTAGGGTAGGGGAGACCGGGGCTGGTTGTCACAATTTTCAGTAATTCTTTTTTTTATTCGATCTGAAGCGTTATAGGCACATATTTGGTGCATAACTAATATGGTTTATCCTTTGGGAACACTATGTAAAATCGATAAGGCTGTAAAATAATTCACAATATTAAATTAAAATGTTTCTAAATACAGAAACAAATGTGACGACTTGCCCCTTGCTGGGGCTGGACGTCACATTGCTTGGGGTTGGTTGTCACGTGTATTTTAGATCATTAATAACACTGGTCAACAAAATTTTAACTTTGTCGTGCCACACGGACTGTTTTGATATTTTTTACTTTAATTGGTGATTGTAAGAAAAAATAAACAGTTAAAAAAAATTTGCTAGACAAGGATTTTATTCTATTGAGTAATTTAAAATGTTAAGAAAAAACACAGATCTCGTAAATCAAAAGTTATTGTTTTTTATAAATGACTTAATAATCTAAGATTTTCTTGAATATTTAGCTTCTGGTTGGTCCCTTTTAATTGTCCAGCAGTAATCTGCTAACATATTTGGACTCCATTTGCCGTGGTACCGCTTTTCCATATTAGAAATGTCCTGATGGAACCTCTCACCGTGCTCGTCGCTTTCAGCCCCTAAATTGTCAGGAAAAAAATCCAGGTGCGAGTCTAAAAAATGGATCTTAAGTGACATGTTGCAACCCAATGCTTGATATGACAATAATAGCTCGCTAACCAACTCTGTGTAGCTGTCACTCTTGTGGTTACCCAAAAAATTTGAAACAACATTTTTGAAAGCCTTCCATGCAGATGTTTCTAAATCGCTTAATTTTTCTTCAAATCTTGAATCTTTTATTAACTCCCTAATTTGAGGGCCAACAAAGATACCCTCTTTTATCTTTGCATCACTTATTTTAGGGAATTTTTCTTTTAGATACAAAAATCCACTCCCATTGCGATCCATTGCCTTCACAAAATTTTTTATTAATCCTAATTTGATATGCAATGGTGGTAGAAGCACATTATTTGGCTGTACAAGGGGTAAATACTTTACGTTTTTTTGCCCAGGAACTAACGATGCACGCGTAGGCCATTATTTTTTTATATAGTGATTAGTTCTGTCTCGGCTACCCCATTCACATAAAAAGCAGCAAAACTTTGTATAACCCAGCTGAAGTCCAAGTAATAGTGCAACAACTTTAAGATCACCGCAGATTTTGAAGGAATATGTACTGTAATTTATTTTTTCAAGTGAAAGTTTCATATTTTCATAGGTTTCTTTCATATTTGCAGCATGGGCCAGAGGTACAGACGGAAGCTTATTTCCATTATTCAATAACACTGCTTTTAGACTTGCTTTCGAAGAATCAATAAATAAACGCCACTGAGAGAGATCAAAATCTATGTCCAACATTTTCATAATCTCATTTATGTTATTGCAAAACACCTTATCTCCATCCTGAGAAAAATACGTTCTGAAGTGTTGATCACGGTGTCGAAAATAGCTAACTTTTGTATTATGATGTAGCAAAATCCATTCTTTTAGACGTGATCCTAATAGTTCTGACTGCTTTTTTGACAAATTTAACTCCCGAACCAAACCATTTAGGTCTCCTTGAGTTATCAAATGTGGCTCGTTTACAATTCCTTTTAACTCAAAGTCATCGTCCTCGTCAACACATTCACCTGAAGTGGACGGTTGTGAATTGTTCTCAACAGACGTAGTTTCAACTGGTATTAGTTCTGGCAATTTTTTACAATGAGAGACTGGTCTTATAGCCGAAGATAAGTTAGGGTAAATAACTGTGGTTTTTTCTTGTAATTTATACCTTTTATGTCTGTGAGACAAAAATAGCAATCTGAAACGTGATCTCGCTGTTCAGTCCATATCATGGGTACAGCAAACGGCATAGGTCGTGCACCTTTCTTCCAGTCAGTTAAATTTTTCACACACGTTATGCAACAGACATGAGGGGCCCAGGATTTGTCTTGATGGGCGACAGAAAAACCAAAACATTGGTGATAACACTCCAACACAAGATTCGTAAAATTTCGTCGTTGTTTTTTGAATGTTATTTCTCCGCAGACATAACAAAAAGAGTTAGGATCATTATTACACTTCCTCGACATATTCACAGGGCTAATAAATCACAAAAAAGTGTTCAAATTCAATAACAAATATTTTTATAAGGATTTACTTGTAAGCGTTTCTGTTAATTTACTGCCGTAGTACTAGTTATGAGTATTACCGTATCACAACAAATATGAGGCTAATAGACATATGACAGCTGTCTTGTAATAATGAGGGTAGACTGATAAAACACAATTAGCTGTCAAAGTTCGTGTGGCAAAACCAGTGTTGACCAGTGTAATTTATATCATACTTTTAAACATATTTATTTTTACAAATAAGACATAAGACATAAAGATTTGGTATTTAGATACCAAAACTTTATGAGAAAAAAGTAGAAGAGCTTTTTACAATTAGTCACTATCGTAGTTATGACATATGTAAAGTTTGCGTCCCTCAGTGCAGAAAACTGAGGGGTGTGAGGTTTTTTGATACAAAATTCAGCACTCCAAAGTTCAAAACGGCGGATTGACGGGTTGCCCTAAGTGGACGATTTTTCTGGACAAAACACCTCACATCTCGGTAGCTAATTACCAAAATCCCATAGTATGTAATATCAATCTTCTTCTTTTGAATTGGTTTATCCAAATATGCAATAAAATTTGAGGCATTCCATTTTAAAAATCACATCTTTGATATGTAGGTCAAAATTGGGACACCCTGTATAATTGCCAATATCTTAGAAATTTGCCATCAAATGTCATGTATAACATGCCATAAATAGATTTTCCCAAAATGTATTTGTTTATGAGTAATATTCCATCCACACATGGATGGGCCACCCTGTATAGTGACTCATCTAAGTTTCCAGAGTTCCTATAAAATGTGGGATGGAAATGAATAGAAACCAATTCATACGAAGGTTATGAATCAAAGTTATCCTAAATTCTATTGAGTAGTCCAAAACCTGCATCACATTATCAATAAGCCTTGGTTATTTTTGGCAAGAGCTTTCCTCCATATCATACAGAGCTAAATAAAAGAGCAGCGTTCCAACGCGTCATCCATGGACACTCCGGAGTTGATGAAGATTATAACGCCAAACTTGTTCTGACTAAACATTTTTAAATAAACAAAATTTATAGTTGTCAAAGGATTGACAGCTTAGCTTTAGTTATAGTTTAGTTCTGAGCTACGACACGGAATTATGGCAGTTAATCCTATGACACGAAGGATTGTCAATTCGGGTCAATTCAAAAGTTGCGTTCATACCGATATCAATGGATATTTGTATGAAAACATATAGTGTATATACACGCAAGATAGAATGGATGCGTGATTGCAAAAAGCAAGGACAGCGTACAGGGCCGCATTCAGGGCTACCTCCAAATGATGGACTACCACCAACGTGTTGTAAAACAAAGATGACAGTATTGAACAGAAACAGATACTTAACAAATTACTCAAATACACTTAACAACAACAACAGCAACAACCAAGTAAGGTGAATACGAAAACACGAGCACGCAGCGATACACGCGACGCACGGTGGCCTGAGTGCAACTCTGCCTGCCCTGCCCCTGCCCCGCGCATTATTCCGCCAGGCGACCGCTTGAAATTTAATGGCGAATTGGCCAATAAGAGGCGTCGTCCCCACCTGTTACCGAGATATCACGCGCTAACTGTTATTATTTACATCTCATCTTGAATTTGAATTCAGTTTAGATATAATAACTTTGGTGTTGCAAGTGGTTAAAATCTTGATAAGAGAAGCTAAATATCTGGATAGATGGATACTTATAGTGGAGTTATATAGCTTAGCTATGAAATGAGTGGTAACATATTGTACGTGTTGAAACGCCTCCCTTAATGATTAGTAACAAGTCACACATTTCATATTAATTTCCAGCTAGGAATATTTATCTGGCTGCCAAAATATTTGCACAGTTGTGCTGTCATTGCGAAACACAAACAAGGTCGCCTCGAGATAATTTAGACGTGCAACCAGACATATCTCACGCAAATTAGATTTTTCGTCAATTTATTAGTTAAAGTCGGTTGCGTTGATTTATGTGCTCCAAGTACGCGCTTCTGTCATCGCTGGAGTACTGGAACACACATCAGGATCGGATTGAGGTTTACAGTTGTCGCGTTTATTAAAAGAAGTCGAGCTGTCGCTGACCCTGGCATTGCACAGATACAATTAATCCAAAATGTTTTATCTACACGATTTACGTCGCCACATTGAAGAAATTTTTAAGTATCTCAACAATTACTGTTGTAGTTTGTTGAATATTTATGCGCCCAGGTGCAATGAATAAATCGAATAATAAAAACGCTCCAATATACCAACACATTAAAGGAAAGGATATAACTAATTCTAACGACCATTCAGATGGAGGTGCTCATTTGTAGTTTTAAGATAACGTTTTTCTTAAAATTGATTTTAGTTAAATGTTCTGTCATACGTCTGTTAAGTGTCAACAACTGTTAACATATACAGAACTTGTCTTTACACTGGTTGATTCCTTTAGGGTCGATTTCAATCACACCAAAAACTAACGGAGTCTTCAACCAATTAAGGAACAGCTGCCAAAGCTGTCCTGATACCAGTAATTTCTAATGAAGAAGGGGTTGTTTTATAAATAATGGTAACAGATGTAATACCATGTCTTTGAGCTTTAGAATTAGGATAACTTTCATAGAATTGCCAATTTCTATCATTTCATAAAAGAATGGACCAAAGAAAATGCAAATAATAGGTCGATTTTCTATCATATTTAATTAAATGTTTTCGCTGTTTCTGACGACTGTCCATATATGATTATCTAGTTTTGTCTTTATATCACATCCAGGATGTTGTGCATAATACGTACCTGGGTATTTCTCAGCAAATTCCGAAATTCATGTCTTGAGCCATTGATGATAAGTTGCATGGATTTATCATCAACTTAACATTTTTATTACATCAATAAGTATCTACACTAATATTTTGGAAGCAAAAATTTATATAATATATTGACACAAAAAATACGATTAATTTATTAGTCTAAAAGTCATTCCATCATCTCGTCGCCGAGCCTGAAGTTACTAATAGAAAAATATATACAATCAAATCTGCTCATATTCTTATAAATTGAATATTACTAAAATATTTGGTAATAAGTATGGATTGTATAGTCAAGCTTTCATTGCTAAAAAATAAATATGTATTTAAAAAAATCTATTTAAACTATACTAAGTGACATATAAAACCGAACACCCAGTCTAAATGGTTTTATTTTAATAAGATTTTGTATAAGTACTTAATGAAGCATAATAAGTAAATGATGAAAATTTCAAAATGATTGCACTGCTTTAAAGCCCTTTGACCTTTAATAATGTGTGGATGCACCCTGATGTGCTACGCATTCTCCAACGCGCCTATGCATGCTTCTGATCAGGTGGTCAATATCCTCCTGTGGTATCTCATTCCAGGCAACCACCAACTCCTCTCGAAGTGCTTTTAGAGTCTGAGGAGGACGTTGCAAATTGAGCAATCTCCTACCCATCATATCCCACACGTGCTCAATTGGGGATAAGTCGGGAGATCTTGGTGGCCATGGTAACAATGTGACATCATTATGTTGAAGGAAGTCTATTGTGACTCTTGCAACATGTGGTCGGGCATTATCTTGTTGGAAAGTTGGATCTGCCAGGGTGTCAAGATAGGGTAAAAGATGGGGTTCTAGAACTTCGTGGATATAACGCTGCGCGTTCATGTTACCTCTGATGAAGATTAAAGGTGACCTGGAACCATAAGCTATAGCACCCCAAACCATAACTCCAACAGTGTGATGAACATGTCTTTCAACAAAAAACTGTGGATTCCTCCTTTCACCACGTCGCCTTCTAACCCTGGCACAACCATCGTGCATGCCTAAACAAAATCGAGACTCGTCACTAAAGACAATACTGTTCCATTCCTGATCCCAGAGTGACCGTTGTCTGCACCACTCAAGGCGATTACGTCGGTGTAAGGGTTAGAAGGCGACCTGGTGAAAGGAGGAATCCACAGTTTTTTGTTGAAAGACATGTTCATCACACTGTTGGAGTTATGGTTTGGGGTGCTATAGATTATGGTTCCAGGTCACCTTTAATCTTCATCAGAGGTAACATGAACGCGCAGCGTTATATCCACGAAGTTCTAGAACCCCATCTTTTACCCTATCTTGACACCCGGGCAGATCCAACTTTCCAACAAGATAATGCCCGACCACATGTTGCAAGAGTCACAATAGACTTCTTTCAACATAATGATGTCACATTGTTACCATGGCCACCAAGATCTCCCGACTTATCCCCAATTGAGCACGTGTTTGATATGATGGGTAGGAGATTGCTCAATTTGCAACGTCCTCCTCAGACTCTAGAAGCACTTTGAGTGGAGTTGGTGGTTGCCTGGAATGAGATACCACAGGAGGACATTGACCACCTGATCAGAAGCATGCCTAGGCGCGTTGGAGAATGCGTAGCACATCAGGGTGCATCCACACATTATTTATGGTCAAAGGGCTTTAAAGCAGTGCAATCATTTTGAAATTTTTATCATTTACTTATTATGCTTCATTAAGTACATATACAAAGTTTTATTAAAATAAAACCATTTAAACTGGGTGTTCGGATTTATATGTCACTTAGTATATGTCCCTTGAAATGAAATCATTCCCTCACCCATTATAAATATTCGATTTCTGGTCACACCATTTGATATTTTTGCACGCAGCTGTTATGTTTTTAAGACTTGGCAATACTGCTAATAATGTCAACATGGCGGAATTTCTTAATAGTGAAAAGAGTTGCCGCAAAAAAGTATTGGATTTCGATAATTAGAACATTACATTTCTCTGTGTTATTACGAGTACCTCACTGTTTATATTAAAAGGTATACTTTATCTGAAGTCACTTGAAATAGCATAAGGACCTTTGGTCGGCGCGTCCTTTGTAATTTCATGACGTATCATAGGCGTGCGGTCATTTATTTAGAACGATAATAATAATGTTTGTATATCACAATAAATGGATTTTACTATCTTCTTATTTTTTTGATTTGGGATAAAAAATACTTATATTGGGAGTTTAATTTATGTTGACTGAAATTTAAGAAATGGAAAAATTACAGAATTCCAACGTTTGACATAGGTAGGCAAATATTTACATAGCAGGTAGGTATATAAAAAGGTATATAAAGACTTACATTATAGGTATTTATATATCATCCTCGCCTTCGGAGCTGTCGCTAGAGTCATCTTGTAGAGGAATTACAACGGGATTTACAGGAGGCAAAACACAATATTCATTTTCTTTTTCAATAATATGCCTAGAACACTGCTTCCATAGGTCTGTGGCAGCAATTTGAGATACTGCATCTCTTATTGTGGCCAATAGCGATTCACTTAATTGAGGGGTCTGATTATGTTTTCTTACTTTTTTTTTAAAAGCAGCCCAGACCAACTCAATCGGGTTAAAAATGCAGTAATAGGGAGGTAGACGTAATACTTCATGGCCATTTTGCTGAAGCAGATTGTCAACAACATACTCTTTTTCAAATTTTTGTCTTTTAATAAGATCCAATAATATGGCTTTGGTTGATTTTTGTGGTATTTCCATTCCCTTATCCTTCATAAAATCAATAATGTCCTGTTTTTTTTGCGCCTGTATTCGGAATTTTGTTTTTCTGTCGGGAATGGTATGGCGCATTGTCCATAATAATCACTGAATTTGGGGAAATGTTTGGTATTAACTGCTGCTCTATCCACTTTTCAAATAAGTCGGAGGTCATGTCCTCATGATAGTCGGCACAGGATTCTTTGATATTTTATAAGGCATTAGGTATAAATCCATTTTCACTGCCAGCATGGAGAATAATGATTCGTTTTCTACGGTTGCATGGTGCATTTAGAATGCACTTGTTGCTGTCGTCAACCCAGCCGTACTGCACAACATCATGGGTATCATACAACGTTTCATCCAGGTAAATCAGATTTCTTTTCTGCTCTCTATAGATTTTAACTTTGTGCAAAAATTCTTGGCGCAATTCAACGATTCGAGACGACTCCATAATCACCATTCTTTTATCTAACTTTTTGTATTGAAAACCACACAGTTTTACAATACAGTGCAGTCAGTCTAAGCATTTGTAATTATAAAAATCTTCAGGATAATCTTTTAATTTATCATTTCCAACGTGGGCACCAAATTTTCTTTATAAAATCCGTATATTATACGACGAATATCTTCCTGAAAACCCACGTCTATTCTTTTTAATTTTTGCCCTATGCGCTTTCTGTGGAAGGAATGGTTGACTACATCTCCCCTTTTTATAACCCGATAAATGGTAGACCGACTGATTTTTGTCAGGATACAAATTCTGTTTAAAATTTGATTTTGCGAGGAATGTGGATTTTCGTTTTTCAGACAATCATGCATATTTAGGATCACTCTTTGGGTCTGTTCCTCTAAATCTTTATGAAAGAATTCTGCCTGCACAGGTTCATCAACCATCTCCTCGTGGCTTGGAGCATTTTCCCAAGGTCTCCAAAGAGCCATATTTAGGACACACAAGAACAATCAACACAACAATTAAATCAATAAGTAAACTGAGTATTCAAAAGTCAAAAACACACAAACTAATAAAATCTATGAAAAAACACTGGCTAAACTGTTTCAATTTTCAGTAGCCACCTGCACTTGTTCGGAGCTCTGGAATACACGCTTTCTCATTGGATATGTCCACGCATAGGTGTGCTTTACTCCACGTGGACCGGTGAAACTGCCTTTGATCTTATACGGGGGATATTTGCTGCGAAATTTAGCGATTTTTGCAGCAACAGAGCGTGTTAAATATAGATATATAAAACGCACCCGGTATTTCACAGTGTTTCAAGTGACTTCAGATAAAGTATAAGTCATTATACTGTTCGAATGTTTTAATGATTTTTTTTCTTGTTTTGGAGAGTAAAATGCATTCACAAAATGCTAAATCAATT